AGAAGGTTTAGAGGAGATGATATGCGAATTCATTGACGCGGGACAACCTCCCAGAGATCCTAATGTTCAGCGTACATTTAATTGTCTGAACCAAATACATTCCCTCTAACTGATACAAAAACCCGATTTTTTCGTCGATAATATTATCTTCCGGCTTACTGTTTACTTACGTATGCATGGCACTTCGGGCGAACTGCAGTGGCAGTGCGGTATTTAGCCAAAAACTCTGTGTTAGCTTAGGGAGCAGTGGAGAATTTTGCCAATGACTTCCGGGTAACCAAAGGGGTTGTTGGATTGTTCGGTCAACGCATTTGGGATAACTTAGGAAACCGTCGAGTGGCCTGAGAATTACTTTGTGCTAACTTGGGGAACTGCAAACAAACGTGCAAGAAACTTCGAAGCAATTTGAGGAACTGCAGACAAGCCTGAAAATTGCTTCAGGGGGATACTATCGGGTACCATGGAATGGTGCGCAAAATGCTTTGGGAACCACAGAAAGTGTCGCGTCGCTCAAAGTTTTTTTAGAATACATTCATCCCTAAGCCGCCAAAGATAGCCCTACGCCTGTGCCTGCTGTGTAAATGCTACCGGTATGGCTTCTTTATTTTCAGTGATCAATAGTAACTGGCTTTCCTCGGTATTCCCCTTACCTTGCGGTTACTAATAGGACTCAGGCATCATGACGAACGGATCCTCCTCGTCCACTCAAACAATTCCAAAGATAACAGTGAAACTCTTAAAAGAACACCTTTTCTGCACCCAGTTTCTCATCAACAAGTACGAAAGCTGTTTTTTACCCTGAAATGTTTCCAGTCCTGTCGTTTATATCACGATTTTAAAAAATGCCTTGCGAAGCCACCCTCCTGCATCATGATAGTATGCTTATCAATAAATGATGAGCTTTCGATGTAGTGACACAACTACGTGTTGCTACTAGCGCGTTGGCCACTTTATCAGATATTCACTTCACGTAAACTCTATGGTCTTTATCCTTATTTATAGACATTATTGTTTTTTGCAACCCTTGATCTTTCCGGATCAAGTGTCTGATTTTCGTGTGTCAGACTAATAAGTCGTTAACACTGTTCGTCGTTCACTGTATAAAATCCACTTTGGTCAATTCTCTACTCCCTGACTGGCTTGCATCTACAGGAGGTTATTGATGTGTGATGACTTTGAAGGAGATATTTCGTCCCTTTGGTCTGAAGCACGTTTGGAGTACATTCCATCCATGTGAAACTATAAGTGTCAATATACACTTCGTTTCAATTAAAAAGATATTGATCATGTTCCGGCCAGTAAAATGGCTTAGTTCTATTTCAGAAACAAAACGTAACTGTCATGACTTCAGATAGCGCAATTATGAAGCGTAGGCCATCTGAACGATATGATGTTTTTTACCATACATTTCGAACAACCTGATGACACATTTACTTATAAAGGCATTGTATATGAAATTGGAAGTGGTGGAAGGACAAATATAACATTAAGGAATTCGGTAAAAAGAAGGAGAAAAATAAAAAAAGATAAAACAGACATTACCACAGTAGACTTAGCGTAAGGAAAAGCCGTTTTTACACACACACAACGGCGGGTTAAATTTGCTCACGGTTAGTGCTTCAACAAGCGCACATATACGCCCCTGACGGTTTCGAACAGTAGTGTGAAGGCCGTTTTAGCATCCCTCGTTTGACCCTTATCGATGATATGTCTTGCAGTGGGTGATAATGGCCATTCGCCACCTGCGATTGTCAGGGTTGGTGAATCCAGCTGACTTTATAGCCATTTTGGTACATGGTGCACTACCCTAGTGTGCATATTTCGATTAGTTCTCCCTATGTATGTGTGTTCACACACACATGTGTATTTATAAACTCCGTTGAAAGTGCGCCATTGTCTATGCGGTGTCGAGGTCTCTGCTGCTGCAGGTGTTTGGTCTTCTTAAACACAAAAAGCTCAGCTGCGTAATATGTTTTGCTTATGGAAGACGTCAACCCTAAGGTTTTAGCGCTGGGCGATTTTTGCAGCGGTTTGGGGACTTCAATGGATATCTATTTTCCACCGATGTTTCAGTTGGTATTTTGATGTTATCATTTCATTTCTGAGCATTGTTTCTTGATATTGACGCCCTTGAGATGCGCCCAGAAGCCCCAGTTTTTTTGTCATTCCACCTCGTAAGGCTACAACGAGGATTTTCTCGAAGTTATTAGCATCTTGCCGACAGCCCTCTCGCTCGGTTGATTGAAGAGACCTCTTGTCATCAAACCCTGCTTGTTGTCTTGCAGGAAGCTTGCGTAACTTAATCGAAAGGCTTGATATTATCTCTGCTTTGGTAAGTCACATATCATAGGTATCTTTGCAATGAGGTACCATAGACGACTAAGGCACTGCAGGCCAAAGACAAAACTAAGCCCACAAACTGCAGTGTAAGCTTGGAAACATGGAACGCTTCAGTCCCGTAATTGCTGAAACAGAGTCACAGTTTAATGATCTTCCTTTTCATGATTGGCTCAACAGTACGCCCCGCTTCAACTCAACCGGTTCAGAAGTCCTTTTACGGATAGAAAACTTAACCTGCTTCATTAATTCTGAGGTTAATAGGCGTATTTGAAAACTTTATAACGCTGGTAACCAAATTAACACCATTGAAACCCCACTTAATTCTGTCCATTTATGCCTTCTTAAGGTGGTCACATTTTAAGCCGTTATCACCACTGTATGCGACTCTAGTCATCTTAGCAACTCATCAACAAAACGAACTCGTGCGACCCCTACCAGGGGTGAAAACCACACCCGAACTTAAGTATTCTCAAAGCACGTTCTTGTGGAACATTGTCTTCGCTTAAAAATAAGTTTTAACAGTTCATTGATACTAATTATAGTGCACATTTCTGAAACAGTCTGATTTACATGTGGGGGCGCCTGAACAGTAACCACATGATTCCATACTTGATGGTTGTTTAATTTCTTGTAAAAAGCAACGAAAAAATACAAACCTTCAATTTTCCTTTTACAGCCACCATATTCGTTTCGAAGCGCTTCTAGAAAGCCACTCTCTAACGGCCTCGCCTCCTGAGCCAATTTAACATTTACGCACATTTTCAAGTTTTTCTCTCGAAATGCGTCAGCATGAGGATTGGTTATGAAAGGCGTCAGGGATCTAGGCTTCTTAGAAGGTTCAGAAATATATTTCTGCGCACCATGGTATCTTTAAAACTTGAAAGCCTCTATGGCCACGGAGAAATATAAGAAACTTCCGAAGTGGTTGGTGAAAACAAATATTGGTTTCGACCCTACCCATGGATCAAACTCCTTTTTGGCTAATCTGAAGCTCATTTAGGTGACCTTTTTCAGTTGTGGGTGGGGAGAGTGTGCTGTTGCAAACTGCATTAGCCGCCTAGATCGTTTGCAGTTACAACGTTGGTACGGGATATTTCACGATGATAATTGTACAGGAACGTCAGGTTTATCCTAGTTTCTTCGCAGTGATCATTCTGTTCTGAGTTTGGCTACATTTTGGAAACCACGGCATAAGTGGCAGCGGAGTCAAAGACGGACTAATATGCTAGTTGCTACCCACTTTGAATTGATAAGACATTTGTAGGTCGTCGAATGCCAACTTGTGGTATTTGGGTTGTGGAACGAGAATAACTTTGAAAACTGTGATGAACGTTTAGCACAAGGAAAGAGAATTTCTCTAGATTGCCAGCAGTGTGACCTGTGGGACGCTTCCACTGAAGACCGCTTTGCATAACAGCAAATTGAGCACTTCAGAGAGACCACTACATTTTGCAAAGGACCAAGTTTCCTCCTTATCAGCTGGGTTCCCTTAAAAAATATAGCCAAAATGAATTAGCTGACTGAAGCAGTAAGTGTTTCGTGCAAATATTTCAAGCTTAGCTTGTTTACGAAACCAGAAAAACATCTAGTTGTGTATGCATTGTGGAGACCCAATAACTTCCGGTAAGATCATCCATTGAGTGAAACACCCTGGCTGGACAACCTTTTCACTTCAAGACCGATGGCCCCGCAGGAATCACACTGGTATACCCCGGTAGGGCTGGAAAGTGAGGGTTAGACTCAATTCTTGCAGACCGTGGTTATGGAATGGCCTGTGGATAGACGTAGAGTCGGCAACCTCACCTGACCCTGTTAAACGAATGCCAGATAAGTAGGCGAGTGATTATGGTTTACTTTCGGCATACGCCGGTGGCAAACAAATGCATACTCTCTCCTTCTTGTGTTACTATATCCAGTAACCTCTCCACTTTAATACTTGTAGCGCTTATTCGCCAATGCATTACACTCTTCACATTTTTCTTTTTCAATTCTTACCATTTATTTCGCGCTAATTTTCAGCCACCCTTTACTACTTGCCTACAGGTACCCATAAAGAAAGCTGCCGAGTGAAATTAGTTGATCTTATCAGCAACTCCATTTTTGTTGCAAATAAACCAGCCTACTATTTCCATAACAAAGACTTCAGGTAGACAGTCAGTACTTCCGAAGCCATAAGTGTATGAACTAGGAAGAACTCTGTTGTCACCGAAGAAGGATTATCAAAAGAAAAGAACTGACGCCTATTACATAGAAGTTAGAGTTCATAATCTGCAAATTTACTCTATATGTTGATATTGCATGTTGACATCCAGTGCACATTGTCTTGCATAAGAATCCTGTAACAGAGAAAAGATTTTCGGGTATACATCCATTTGTCACCCACCTCCATTTCTCTGATAAGCATTTCAATATTGACTCCTAATGGAAAGGATTTTGTTTCTTCACACCACTTAGCAAATAAAACCACTTAAGCGCTGTTTTGGACTTAAAATGAGCGCGGTATAAAAGTGTTTTTAGTTGGAATGGGTATGTAGACGGCAGTTCTGCATTTCTGTTCTTCTTTCATGTACGCTTGTGGATATGTTTAAAGAATTTATTTGTCCAAATTTGCTCGTCACTTCTTGATTCAAATACAGGATTTGTTCTGTTAATATTACTTAATGAACTTCATACTGTTGAGTTCTTTGCTTGTTTTGACACTATGGAATGTATATTGCATCGATGAATCTGTTATAACTCGAAAACCGGTGTTTACTGAATATCCAAGGGATGCTTTCCCACTTCATCGTCAACAGCTGAGGTTGTTTTGTCGTGCCGACGGTGAACCTGTAGTTTCGATAACATGGTATAAAGATGGGAAAGTTGTTGAGACACAGAGAGATAAGCCAGGCACTTCAAACAGAATCACAAAACCCGGTGAGTTGCTTTTCCTGTCCTTCAGTGTTGAAGATGAGGGTCAATATTACTGCAACGCATCTAATATTCATGGTTGGACTCGATCTCCTTCTGCCCTTGTTAAGGCCGCATTTTTCGACGCTAGTGGTGCATCCGGCCCGGAAAGCAAATCTGCTAATCTCGGTCAGACTATTTTGTTGGAATGTACTCCACCTGCTGGATTACCGGTACCGGCTGTTCATTGGAAACATAATAACCAGAAAATTATTGACAGTTCGCGGATAAGGATCATGGGAAGTGGTTTGAGAATCGAGGCAGCTAGACGTCAAGATGCTGGTTCATACCAGTGTCTGGCTGATAATTCTGCTGGCCGTTGGGAAAGTAAATCTGCTACACTTACTGTTCGTCGTAAGCCACGTTTCAAGTTTACTCCCATGAGCAAACAAGCTGTCGTCGGGGATGCTGTTGAGTTTCAGTGTTTGGCCTCCGAAGATCCTAATTCTACGATTCTGTGGAGACGGGAGGGCAATAAAATCATCCAGGCTTCATTGATTGATCGGAAAACACTTCGAATAGAGCACGTTAAGCTATCTGATGCTGGTGACTACATTTGCGAGGCCAAAAATGTTGCTGGTAATGTTGAAGCTGTCGCTCATCTGTCCGTGGTTTCACCACCAATTTTTGTTATTACTCCTGAGGATAAAACAGTCCCACTTGGTAGCCAGGTCTCATTTGATTGCTTGACTTCTGGTTCTCCACCACCCAGTGTCAGATGGCTGCACAATAAGTTCTCTTTCTGGGTTCCGAAGCCTAATGAAAAACCCATACAAGCAGGCAGGTTTCAGATATTTCCTAATGGAACACTGTCAATAAACTCAACTTTGCTGTCCGATGTCGGGTTGTTCGAATGTAAAGCATCTCAAAAAGCCGGTATCGTCAAATCATCAGCTCAGCTACTTGTTGAGACCTCTGGTGTGATATCTCTTCCACTTATTGAGGTGGGTCCTCAAAATCGAACACTATATCAAGGCATGATCGCAACTTTGCCATGTCATTCAACTGTTCTTCAGTACACTTTGCGGGCTTCAAACTCACTGGTTCATTCCAGTGTTGATACGTTTACACCTATTGTTACACAGTGGTTTTTTAATGGTTCTACTCTCTCATCTAACTCTAATCCCCGAGTTGTGATATTAAACTCTGGATCACTTCAGATAAATGCCTTACGTGTGTCTGACACAGGCTTATACACATGTGAGGTGGAGATTCAGGACTTCTCTGCTCCTTTTTTACGACGTTCTACATCATCAACCTCTTTCTTGCAAATAATTCAGAGTGGGTCTTCTGAGAGCAGCATGTATCTCCCGTCTGGAGAAGAAAATGAGATGTTGTTACCTGATCCTCCAAAGGATGTTAGAGTTACAAGTATTGGTGATACTTGGGTTTTGCTAGAATTAGCTGATGATCAGTCTAATATGCATACAATACACAGGCGTGACATCACCTCAGGCGTCTTCAGAACTGGTTTGCAAGTTGAAGCAGCAGAGTTCAATGCTTCTAGTGGTTGGCGCATAATGGAATCTTCTGTTACATCTACTTCAGTTCATGTAAACGGATTATTACCACAAACCGGCTACCATTTCCTTGTCCGCTACATCAATCGTTATGGAGTCGGCAGACCCTTCATTCTAAATAGATTAGTGATCACGAAAATGCCGGAGCCAGCTCGTGACTATGTACCAACCGAGCTAGTTGTAAAACTGCAATCTGTAAGTTTTAGTCCTGTACACATTAGAGCGATATCACCATCTGAGTTATTAGCGGAATGGTTCCTGTGTGGCCCATCAGACACATTAAGTCTAATCACCGGCTTCAAGGCGGCTTATATGAGTGTACCAATGTCTAGGTGCATAACATCTGGTGCCAAAAGCAGTGGATTTTACATCAAGGAAAGTATCACCCATTACTCAAAAATGGATCATGATTCATGTACTTATAGAGATGAGTCTGTGGAGAGTTTGCTAGATTCCTACGATGACGACCTCACTCCATGTAGTTTGCTAGGGATTTCCAAACAACAATCTCTTGACTGGAATCCACCTAGTTTCCTCAATGGTGAAGCATTTGATTACTACGTTCATTCAGGTGTGAACTCCACAAATGTGAAAATGGCTATTGGTAATTTACGACCTTTTATGTGCTACGCCGTTCGTATTGAGGCATTTGTAGATCACCCAGATCACAACAGAATTTTTGCACAGAAAAGCCAAGTCTCAGTCTCTCTTACACATGACAGCACCCCAACAGGTGCACCACAAGTTACAAATGTCTATTGGCTCAAGAATGGAACTGTTCTGCAACTGGACTGGAATCCTCCGAATGAATGGGAGCGTGGTGGTCTTCTCACGGGATACTCTCTGAGGATTTTGAGCACTGCACCCAAGCTTAGTCGTACCGTCAACGTAAGTATTTCCTTTGATACATTTGAATAATTAACATTCATGACTCAATGACTTCATGTTTGTGCTCTCAGTTTGGTTATATTTAGCGTAGATGTCGTACTGCATATAAAGAGCACTACTTACTATTTTATGGATGAAGATACCGTGCAGGTGTCGAAATCTAAGTACCTGGAGTTAGTTCATTTTTCAGGATCATACAGTTGCTAACCTATTCTTACTTGTTGGCTCCTTTGCTCCATTTTTCTAAGCAAATTAACGGTGACTTATCTATACTTGTGATTAGATATCAAGCACATTGATGGCCCTTAATTATAATCAACTCTCATGGGATCTGAATATACATGGCACTATTTGCTGTTTTTACTGCTGTTGTACACGACATGCGTTGTTCTCGGTACTGATTTCCATCATTCATGTATTTACTTACTAATTGTTTGGAGCGTAAATTCGAAGCTTTGGAAAATTGTTAAGGTTTGTGAATTAGACTGAAAATCGTAAATATTTTAGAAATTATGACACTTTTTGGTTGCTTAAATCCGAATAGATAGAATGATTCGAAACATGTAGTCTGTCGTCTAGTAGTCGAAAAGCCACTAATACATTCATGCAGTATGTTCCTTTTATTTGAGATAGTTTTCAAAAATCTGTTTGTGGTTTTTCGTCATTAGATTTGATGTACTCAATGGAAGTCAACACAGTTATGACCTTAGATTTTGTATGTAAAATGATGGTTTCTATCATAGTAATACGCTTGGCACTAACTTTTCATTCTAGGGTTTGTCTGTGAGATAAATGAAATGTTTTAGTGATTAGTTTTGTTGATAAGATGTAACTATAAAGAAGAACCCAATTTAGTTCATTATTTATGATTCTGGAGATTATGTAATATTGAGCTGTTAGTTATCGATTGACTTCAGACACTGAAAGAATATTCGATCATAGTGTATCATCAAATATAGTGATTTGCATATAGTGATGATGCTACTAAACAGATGTAACTGTGTACCAATATGGTTTTAAGATATTGTGGAGTGGTAGGTAGGCTTTAACAATCGCTTGAACTTGTTGAAAATGTGAAGTTTGATTTTATATTTTGCAGATGTAGACATATCAGTTTCGTAAAGTTTTAAACAAATATCTCTGTTGGATACAGAGATCTGAGACGTCCTTTGTTTGCCTTAGCAGTATTTGACTGTGTAGATAGTATGTTGGGATGGTTTCTAATGTGTCATTAATCTTTCTCAAGACAATGAAAATCCATGAGATAACATGAATGTACCGCACACACAAGGATAAAACCACTTGAATCTTTGTGGGGACCATCAATTTAATAGCATAAATGCTTGTTATAACCTTTTGTAGGTTGTCGTATTTTGCTGTGGTAATGTTTCCAACTAGTTTCACACGCGTTTCAATCAACCTATATTCTAGATGGTCCAGTAGGCATTAGGACTTAATACTGTTTTGTTAAACTCTTATGATTTCGTGGTTAGGGCCTGCACTTACTCCACATAGAAATATTTCGACAGTCATCATGTACATCTCTCCAAAAAAATCCAGTGGATCATCATGTAAATGTTTTGGCGCATGGTGTGTGACAATAACATTTCTACAAATGTTTTCCTGCTATATGTACAGAAATGGTATACCACCCATCGTGAATGTGGATCCATTTCTTGAGAACTCGGGAGCTTTTTTGAGTTCATGAAGCAACATATTTTGGGGCATTCCGGAAGAAATACCAAACCTTTAAAGTGCATGGCAAGTGCAGACACCGGTCGATCGTACTATTAACCTGAATGAAGTTGGATTTCATTTCACTCCAGATTAATTTGTCGTTTTGCATGAAGTTTTATTTATCTCAAGATAAGTAGTTTATTGAAGAATCCTATTGGATATTTGCTTATAACTCTACCTACTGGTTTAGGTTTTGAGGTGAACAAAGTCTAAAGTTCCTCCAGTCATTCTTAAATCAATGTGATTGATGGGAGATATATTTAAACTTAAACCTAAACAAAGAGCAAGGGTGGGACACAAGAATGTCAGTGTTTTCCACTCATCGTTTTTAGTCTCCTAACTGTTGAACGGATAAGGACGTCACTCCTATTATTACCATGCATTGACTCTTAAAAATGTAGGGGTACTTCAGTGGACCAGCTTAGAAGTTCCCCCTTTTCATACCTCCAGTTTTGATTTTATTGGAAATTCCAAAACTAATATGGAAAAAACGTACCTTGTAGTTGGGGAAAGTTCTTGCTGCATGGTGGGAATATATATATATATATATATATATATATATATATATATATATATATATATATATTCTGTTGCATCTCCAAAAAGTATTTAAGAAAACAAGTATATTTTTCCCATCTGTAAACAAGAAACAAAGCTAGACAAAAACAGAAGGATCAACGTGGAACTTTTCAGTTGCGCATACTACGCAACCTCCGAGAAATCTAAGGTAAGCAGAAACAAAATGAAATTGAGATAAGTCGGAACGGAATCAGAGAAAGGATAATCAGATAATGATTTTGAAAAATTCGAAAATTGAATATGGCTAGGAGTTAATACATCTACGCCGCTGTGAATGACTTTTAACCAACTATTGATTCTCAACTTATTGTGAACCCTAACTGGGCACAATGTTATAAGAAATGGAATCGAACCTCCAGAATAATTATGTAACTACTCTGTTGAAAAATGTAATACCTTGAAGCAATGTTGATCTGCCGTTTATTGAGCTGAACCGAGTGATGTTGCACTAAGCTAATAATTCGAATGAGAGTGCTAGTACCACTTGTTGAACGATGGTTCATTAGATTAAGAACTGTGCTTTCATCCAGTAGGTAAACAAAATCACTATAAAATTAGGCATTACTGCGTCGTGGTTCAAGTTATCAAACTTAATATCAGCACATCTAACAAAAATCACGTAGGTGTAAGATAAGGAAATGAAGAGAAAAGCAGTCAAAGGTGGTAGAAAATAGCAAAAAGAAAAGATGGAGGAATAAAGAAAAATACTGAATTCTGTCTAGCAATCCAGTTGCAGATAGTGTGTCTATAGACTTGTGTCACTAAGACGGGTTCTGAACTAATCAGCTAGTCTCTAACTGCTGGTTTATGTTGTCACGCAAACCCCATCCGGGAGGTCTGCATTTCCCTATACGGTTCAGACCAGCAGTCAAACACTTCAGGGACTGGTAGCATGTTTTAGTCTGGCCACTGGTTGAGTGGGTCATGAGTTCTAATATCTCTCTTCCTAGGGTTCGGGCACTCTCAAAAAGTAGTTATCGCTCACAAACTGGCGCACTAATCTGTAGGTGGCCGTTAAGTTGCATCGATTTTTTGTTTGTCAGAGGCAGTAGTAGTAATATTAGCCCTAATTCGTCTTTCTTTTTATTATCCGATGCAACTTCGGTTTGGGCAACTGGATGTTACGATAAGCCCCTACAAATTAGCATAGATCATAGCCTAATGCATATGCATATATCGGTTTGAGTTGCGTTATTTTTTTAACTAAATATCTCACCTGAAACATGTCACTAATTATCTCATGAGATGACTTTAAATGTCACTCTGACAACTGAATTGACCAATAAAGGTTCTGTATTCTATGGAAAAACTACCTTTATAGACGAAATAAAGAAACCTAATTGGTCATTTTAATCGTGAGTATGGTGGTCTTTAGAACCACTCATCTCATGCATGTTTAACGTTCTGAACATGAAAATTCGTTATCTCATGCATGTTTGACGATGTTTACAGCTGCTAAGAAGTTATAAAAGAAGATAGATCAATTTTGTCTTGCAAATGTCCAAAATTTAATCCAAGATATAAATCATCTAATTTTACATTTCCTTGACATTTCCTACTTTAGATGGGTGCTGAGAAATCTTCTTTCCACATTTATAATCTTGATCCATCGTCCAATTACACGTTATATCTATCTGCAGTAACCTGTCATGGTGAAGGTGTACGGTCACTACCAGTTTACATTTTTGCTTACCCCACACGTGGTCATTTTCCAGAGGCGAGTCTACACTCATCTCATAATCCAATAATAGATCCAAATCAATTTGAATCTGGGAATTTTTTCCGGAAAGTTTTATACGACGGTAGAAGTTTTTATCCGGGAATATCTGCATCACAGACGCTTGCCGACCACACGAATTCTAAACATACTGGTGTCTATGAGGAAAAGTTGAGCCTTACCCGAGAACCTTGGTTTATAGTTAGTGCAGTTATGTTCAGCGTGCTTTGGGTGCTCATTTGCCTTGGTCTTATCATATGTGGACGACACAGGAATGAACGCCAGCGGCGCAGGCATGGTGTTTTGGATGTTATGGATGTTGAAATAATTGCCAAAAATGGACGCCTTGGTACTAGTGATTCCACTCAGGCTGCAGGTACAGTTTCACCTTCGATGTACATGGGCGGTTTCATGGCTTCTACAGAAGCAGAAGCAGCTTCGCTTACTGTAGTAGATCCTCTTTCTGTAAATGCGGCCTTGTTATCTGACAGAAACCATACACCGAAATCATGCAACCCTGTATTTGGTGACAAATCCTATGCGAATGGCCTTGCTCATGCAATGAACGCACCGTATTCTGTATCTATAAACCACACGTTTTCTATGTCAGGTGATGGGAATTTACAGTCAGTACCTGCATATATACCACAGTATCCTCTTGGTACTCAGATGCTACCCACAGATATTTTGAAGAATCATCCATACAATAATTCAAGTACTATGGTCCCAAATATCTCAGCTAGTAGTGGTGGTCAAAGTAAGTTGACTGTTCGAAATAAGTAAAGAAATGTATCTGAACTTCTTTTGATTGCTATGTATTACCGCTTGCCATTATTTTAAAAGTTAATTTGTCTTCTCATGGTTTGCAGAATACATTATATCGCAACGGTTGTTAAGACTACTGAATTCATAAGTTTCAAAGCTTTGCAAAATAAAAACGAAATCTAGAACGTATAGCATAACAGTGGGTGAAGAAAATAAGAGAATCAAATCACCGTTCGGACGAGATAAAGGATGAGTTCTGCTGAAATCTGTTTAGTCACTCACAGAAAAGGAAACGTACATATGGAATATCGTTTTAAGGGAATTCAGTGCACTGGTAGGGTAGTTAACTGAGATGTGAAAACTTGTTTTTCATGGTTTCAGAATCCAAGCTTAGCAAACAGACATCGACCGTGTGTTACAATTCTGCTCTAGGAACCACCTATTCTTAGCGAGGATTCAACGTTGGACATTAAAAAAAACATGACTTAGCAACCAGGGACCTCGACCTAGTGGTAAACGCAAGTCATCATCAACGCAAGTAAACCACTGGTACAGGTTTATCACTTTATCTACAGTAGATGAATGAACTCCAGCTGTTTTTTTGAGCTTATATGTTTCTACACTTTAATAGATGCAGACAATTTGCCTCTGGGAAATCTTTTAGAGTCTGATTTAAAGGTTCAGGTATCGATATTGTCATTAAGAAGACTGACTAAAATAGTCAGCTAGGACTTCTTTGTGTGAGGACATGAACGTGAGTGTATGAGCGAGAAAGCGTCTCAGTTTAACTGAGACATTTGGAGCAACACAATTCGATTCAGATGTCAACTCAGGCGTGTTTAACTCACTGATTAGTTAATCTTTTACACAGTATGCTTGTTGTCATTTCGTCAAACATATTTCTTGGGTTTTATGCATGAATTCGTATCGCTTCATATCTTGTTTCGTTGGTTATGGGGGGAACGCTCAACAGTTGCACTATGACTGTTGGTAATCATTATATTTCTTTTCAAAGTAATCAGTACAAATGCTGTTATAGATGAATACAGCATATCTTAAAGTTTAGATATGTGCAAGTTAAAAAGCTACAAACTTCTGGTTGGATTTTAAGGTCATAGAAGTTCGTAACCGAAGGAAAGATGTCGAAAAGATAGAAGCTCTAGCTTTTTATCTTGTTATAAACTTTGTTCATGTCTGTAATGAACTCTCGACGCTGTCACTAGATTGTTAAACATGCGGAGTAGGCTTAAATCCAAACCAATGGCGCGCATGGGCTCTACGGTCCAGAACGAATGAATGGCATATAAACCTACTTTGGTCACCGGCAACCATATGTATGCTACACCTCACGTTGCTGCGTTGCCTTGTGGATCAGGCTTCTAGTCAAAGACTTAAAACAACCACGTGCTTTGGTCTCGGCGTCCAAGCAGTATCACAGCCCACATGCAAATTATAAATCAGCATTAATAATGAAGTACACAAAACGCTCATCAAATTTTCCTTTGAAGAACTTCCCACTCTTTTATTCAGTTTGTTATCGTTATGTCGGTGTTCTTTTAAGATATGAACTGTTCTATCTCTTCGCTATCATTCTCAAATTCATTTTTGTATATTTTTATTTCACTCAGCTACTAGTCGTTTAATAAAATCCTAGTTTTTTCGCATCGTCTTGAGTTGTTAAACAGTTGCTTTCAGAAAGTTTTTCTTCATTGTATTACCTAATAAAACCATATTGAAACCTCATGCACCGTTTAAACTCTCCATCTTCAACGTTCGGTTGTTGATGCAGATTGGACAGATAGATTTGTCTAGGGCTCTGGGAAGCCTCGCTATTAATGTATGCTGTCCCAGAGGTTCACATACGAGATACTACTAGTAAAGTGTTTCAATTAACTTCCCCATTGTCAGGTCCAAAAGTGTATTTACAATGTACTTATCCAAGGGCCATGTAGCACCAGAAAACCGCCTTGCTAGTGTTGGTATTGCACTTAGTGTCAAAGGTGAAGCTGTACTAATCGGTTGGATTCACATTAACATTCATCTTGTGTGGTGTTGGGCTAAAAGACTCTATTAGAGTGGTAATCGGAACAATGACTCTTCGTGATTTCTGTCTATGACACGATGTCTTGTGGTCCATGACCAGTTAACACCGACCCGCCTGACGAAGCAGAGGTCTGTAAGGAACTCCAAGTATTGAAATGCCGTAAGGTAACCGGTCCAGACAACTTACTCTCGGCTCTTTTTAAAGATGGTGATTAGACTGTAGTCATCCAACTGCCTACACTGTTTCGGGAGGCGTGACAAACAAAGTTTTATTTCACTCTGGAACGAAGCCATTTTTATACCTATTTTTAAAAAGGGTCCATGTAATGTGTACCAGTTTTCCGTCAGTAGTATTTAAACCATTGGCTGCTATCATATCTTGCAGGCCCTGTGAGGTGCGTGAAAAACTAATTCACAAGGAGCAGACTGTGTCCTTCAGGTCGTTGATACTTCGATCACGTGCTCACCCTCCATCAGATACTAGAACACGGTGGCACATATTGCAGGCTAACGATCGTTGCATTTCTCAATATTAGGGCTGCCTTCAATTTGCTGAACAGAACTGTATTCTGGAATTGTCTGGTAGAGAGGATTGTCTCTGAAAAGTTTATTAACGTCTCATACTGCGATACCACTCACTTCTCTCTGTTTCTTCAAACCGAACTCTGGCTTCGGTGATTTGGGCATGGGTTATGTACGTCATCCCAGCTGTTCCCACAGTGCTTACTGTTCGCCTGCCCTAAGACTAGTTGGAACAAGTGGAGAGGTGGCCAGTGTTTTATGTGGTACCGTGGAATCAAGAATGGTTGTCGAGTTAGCACATGTAGTCTTCACATAAGTCCCTGGATGATGTCCGAGAGATTTGGTGATTCAGTAGCTTAAGACAATACCAAATGTGGCTCAGAATTATAACCATTGGTGATCATGTTGCAGCTTTCATGCTTCCATTCCTAAAGAGCAAAATGAAAGTTGTAAATGCTTCTTTAGGTGTATTTTTGAAACTGCTTTCTTAATAACCCTGTTCTGTTTTATTTTCCAACCTTTCTTTCATCATTTGTATCTTAGCGCTACTTTATTATTTTGTACGGCGTATATCATGGTGCCTATATCATCCCAAGTTTGTGTTATAAGTGATTAATGATATTGGTATGAGAGGATTTGGATTTCATATCGGTTTCAGTCTTTTAATTTAGACTGGATGTAATTGGAGACCGCTCTAGAATTAGAAGGAAAGGTTTACAGCTTCGAACCCAACGTAAGTCACTACGAGGAACGTAATAATGGAATGAAATCTTATGCTTGCAAAAGGTAGTAGTTTATATACAGTAACATTTCTTTGTGCTTTGCTGTATCACTTGTTTCGGTACTGGAAATAATATATCACATTAGAAGTCTAGTGAGAAAAGCATCATTGTGCAGCTGAAAGTGATTCCTGTGTACCGTGATATGTTATTTGTTGTTGGCACTTTATAATCGTGAATTTAGAAAGATTAATTGTGGCTGTATTCATAAATGACAGTTTGTTTTTGAATAATTTAGTTGATAATATTATATCAGCACAGTTGACTTCTTTCAAAATTACTTTCTAGTGTTGCCCAGTGGTAATCACTGTTCATCAGATCTTTTGCAAGGTAGTGGAACTCCTATTTTACCAAATGGATGTTTATCTCTAGCCCTCAGTCATGGTTCACAAAACCAAGCAGCTGATTTATCTTCTGAGGACCATGCGACACCCTATGCTAGTGTATCAGTTATTCAACAAATGGTGTTTGATCATATGCCAATGGATTATTCCGCTGTTCAGCAGGGGCGCGGTAAACAACTTTCACTTGCAGAAATCATACCTCCTCCTCCAGATTATCCACCCCCATCACTTCCTTCCTTCTCCCCGGTTCCACATCACTTTACTAGTTGGTCTTTAGGTGAGGCACCTTGTTCAGGTAGCGGTGAAGATTCAGCCTATAGTGATTTCCAACAGTCATCTCAGCATCAAGGTGGTTGTGGTCCATCTGTTTCTAATCATAATTGGTTAACTTCGCAACCTGAAAGCAATAGTGCTCTTCCAACGTCTTCACACTCGTTATCAAAAACAAGTGGTCTGTCATCTGAATGGCCTAACCACGAAAGCCTCTCAACACCTCATTCCACAGATCAACATAATTTATTTGGTAAGTTCGATTCTTTTAAATTTATACTTTTCCATTATGCTTATCTTCGTCGAATTCTGCACTGTTTAGGTAGGAGGAATGTAGATTCCTTATGCAAATAACTCCTAAATACTATAAGTACATCACGTGTGTGTATTTGTTTGGTACCGAGTTGAATTTCATCAGGTATATCTATTAATCAATGGATGTCAACTAAATTTAGCCGTATACCCAGGTGTTGACGTGTCAACTTGAACCAATGCACGTATGTGCAAGGTTCTACGTTGATTTTTTCTCAAAGTAGGGAGTGAAGTGGTTCAGCGTTTTGATCACTTCACATAGCTCGGATATCGGATCAATCGTGATTAGTCAGTAACCGACGAAATCCATCCACGGATACAAAAGGCTCACTTGATCTTCACCAGCTTACGCCATCTGTGCCACCTCCATGATATCCGGTTGTCTTTTAAGAGTCAAGTGTACTAAAGTGCAGTTCGCTCTCTTCTATCATGTGGCTGCAAAACATGGACATTTGAAATGAAGAAAATGAGAGGGCTTCAGGTGTTTGACTACTGTTACCTTTGTAACGTCGACCGTGTGCTGTTGTGCCGCCACGTGTGTAACGTCGAAGTCAAGTGTGGAGTTTCAGGTGAAGGAGGTAATCCAGATGATAAGGTTGGAAGCCTTCATGGACTCAGGAGGTCAGGGCATCTGTTACATATGTCTAGTCAGCGTCTACCACATGACACAATTGTTAACTGAAGTGAGTTTAGGCTGGAGAATGGTTAATGGTGGCTAGACTAAACATGGCATCATTGCATGAAGCCTTTGACTATTTGTTAGTTTCAGCCGTGAAGAGGGAGATGTGAATTTCGCGTTTGATGTCCGTCCATGTGACAAACGAAATGGTTATTTGAAGATGCTTAGTGATGTGGCTGAGAATTGATCTCAGTGATGCAAATGCATTCACACATTATCGTCATACTGAATTTGATTGTTTCATTCCTTCTCGTTCTCTCTTCACAACTCTCTCACCATTTTTGATCACATTCAAACCTATTTCTCTATTTTTCTTATTACTGCCTTGAGCTTTCTTTGTGGTGCTGATTTGAGGTGTGGCAACTAGAGGTGCTGTTCATTAAAGACCAAGTGATGTTGATTGACTCAGTGGAATCTTTGTTCCAAATAATACAGTTTTACGTGTTGGGCTATTAAAAGTGACTCTGATGTTGAAAGTGTTGGTCTGAACCGTGTGGGGAAATGTAATCTTTTCTGTTAGCAGCTATGTGACAATAAAAACTGGCACCTGAGGAGGCTTGGTGATACAGCTGAGAATTGATCTCAAGGGTGCAAATGTATCCATACACTATCTATATCTGGATCATTATACAGAATTCAGTATTTTCTCGTTCTTCCTTCCTTTCTTTTGGTAACTTTTGACTACTTTCTTCTTCTCCACTTCTTTATCTTTCATTCTAGTGCATTCTCACTTAATGTTCTGATATGAAGTGTGGCAACCTGGACTGTTAAGTAGTAATGCTCGATTATATGCTTATTTTATCTGTTTTGTCAACTACCTAACCTGATTTCCTCACAACAAAAAACTATTTTTCCCTAATCATATTTGAAAAAACACTAAAAAGTACAACAGAAGGGTGGATGTTTATTTCGACCCGATTATTTGGATTAAATCACTTAGCCTAAATAATGAAAAATGTAAGTACAGTGCTCAAACGAGAGAGAAGATATCAACACCGAATATCCTTCAAGTATGAATAAACAGACCAAGTGATGTTGATTGACTCACTGGTATTGCCAATGAGACTGGAATCTTTGTTTCAAATAATACAGTTTTACGTGTTGGGCCATTAAAAGTGACACTGACTTTGAAAACGTCACAACTAAACTGTTCAGCTCGCAGATGACATATTGACTGCTTATTCATTTTTGTGTTCATTAATTCCCAACCTACTTAAAATGATTTAAATCGTTAGAAATCAGTCTTAGCAGTTCATAACTGTAAATAAGTCATCAAATGAGTGTAGGCCAACAAACATTTACGTATTAGTGCACTAAGTATTGATGTACACTTACTGTATACAAGCTTTGATACTACCTCGCTGTCCTGACGGTAGGATTCGAAGGCGTCTCATTTGCTGAAGGTTAATTGCATCAACCAATGAACCACACGTATGCCTGTTATTATGTGCAGATATTTACAAACTATTGGTTTCATATTATAATGTAACATTATTGTATATTTTGAGGTAGTATTCATCACGGAATGACAACAGTTTGCGGAACCACTGGAAACCTGGGATGACTAATTGGCTGTTTCGTCCTAGTATAGGACTCAGCAGTACGCACCCATGACCTTGGTGGGGATCGAACTCAAGACCTTCGGGTTTCACGGTGAACGTGTTAACCATTTAGCCACTGGGTTGGAGTTCAATGGTCCACAGTCTCCACCTTCTGTCGATTCGCAATATCATTTGTCTATCTGAGGTAGCCGCAGTTTGGCAGAGTAGTATTTATACCAGGTGGTGGTTGAAGATGAGATGAAAATCTGAAACGCGGTCGGATTCAAACCAGCGACTACCGGGTTACCGGTGGGATAAAAATTTTGGTCAACAGTCGGACCTCGTAGCTCAGTTGGTAGACCACCGAACCAGTAACCCCGGTGGTCAGTGGTTCGAATCCGACCGCGGTTAAAATTTTCATCTTATCTTTAATCATCACACAGTATAAATTCGCAATATAGCACGAAAATTAAAATCCCCCCTTATTCATCTCAAAAACACATGAAGAGAGAGACAGCTGTAAAGTTATAGCCTAGCTTACCCTCTGATGAATTAGTTTAGTTTTCAGTACCCTTCGTTTTTCATGTTTGTGAATTGACATGGGCAGGTCACTAAATTTCTCGATTAAACTATGTCATTAACTTTTTCTTTTGATTTTCTAAAACCAAACTAAATGTATGTTGATCATAGTCCAAGTTTTCCTCACACAGGCGCACATATACACACACAAACACTATCAGACATTCTTCAAATTATTAATCTTTCTATTGAACATATTGGGTTGACCTAATAAACACAGCAGGAGACAAAGGTCATTTTTGATTATTATGTCGCTGTTTTGAAACCAGTATCTAATCAATACATAAGGAGTAGGGTAGACAAAAACAGCTATAGTTATTAGGTTCTTAGATGGAATTCAGCTGAAGGCAAAAAAAAACAACTGTTGTTTTGGTTTTCAAGTATAATAATGAAAACTTGGTGTTTGACAGCATTAGTCCAAGGTATATTCTCAGTTATGTATCTAGAACTCCTACATATTCTTCTTTTGTCTACTTGAGATGGAAGGAATATGACTTACGTGGGTAATTTTAAGTTTCAGTGGAAAAATACGAGTGACTTTAAAGGCCACCCTAACAAATGCTAAAATGACCAATCTGGCCTCGGTATTTCGCTTGAAAAGTACATTTCCACAAAATAAAGCTACTTAATTGGCTATCTCTTCAGTTGCTAGGATGGCCTTTAAAACCGCCCACAAATACTCAATGTCAGAACATATTGCTGATTAACTTTATACAGGTGTGTTTAATTTACATCTTTTGAAGGTATTAAAAACATTACGAATCAAACTTTCCAGACTTATAGTCTAATCAAAGCACAATGATACTACTAGGTAAATGTATTGGGATTCAAACTTTTATAGTTCTGCTCGAGAGGTGATTACTTTGGTAAATAGAACACGTTAGCGTTGGTCTATTTTTGAACATGGTGAACAATAGTGTTATTGCTTGTATTACACCGTCGTTGATTGGACCGAATCGATCAGTCTTTGTTGGCATATGGGCTCCTATGCGGATGCCTCGATATAATACAAGCAATAACACTAAACCTATACCCGTCGCACAAGAAGTGATTATCGTGGCTCGGTGGTGTAGTGGATAACGCGCTGGCGTTTGGAGCGGTCACTCCCGAGTCCGGGTCCCGGTGGGAACAACATCCTCACTGGGAAGCAAGTACGTCCAGCTGACGAGTCCCAAATAGGACGAAATGCGCATTTTGGATTCCACTGCTAGCCACTACCCATCATTACTAAAAATGGTGAACAATATATATGTAGCGGGATCTAAGACAGACAATTCATCCTCTCCTATTTTGCAACGCTTCGCATTATCGTAGAACAGAGTATAGAATGGCAGTCAACTCTCTACCTCAACTTCATCGACTTTGAAAAGGCCTTTGACAGCGTCGACCGACAAGTAATTTGGTAGTTGCTTCAACACTACGGAATACCACAAACCTTTATCAGCCTCATTCAACAACTATATGAAGACCACATGCGAAGCAATTCACAATGGGAAGCTCAGTAATGCCTTTGGGGTGAAGTGAAGACAGGAGTAAAATAAGGCTATCTACTATCACCCATGATATTCCTGATTGTAGTGGACTGGATCATGCAACAGACCGTGAGGAGCGAGAAGAGGGGGATACGCTGGCTGCACCGGGGAAAAGAACCTAGAAGATTTGGATTTCGCTGACGACTTGTGTCGAATGTCACACAAACTTGAAGATGTACAGGCGAAGACTAACAAGTTGACAGAACAGGAAGGGCAGTGAAGACGGGACTTCAGGTGAAGGTAGAGAAGACAGAGGTAGAGGTGATGAAGATACCCAACTAACACCACCACCAACAAGCTCCAATCACCATCACCATTAACGGGAGAAACTTAAAGGAAGTAGCCTCGGAAATACAGCAAAACGGGCGTTCATTAACCTGAAACCAGTGTGGAGATCTTCTGCACTCAGCATAAAGCGTGAACAAGATCCGGATTTTCAACACCAACTTTAAGTCTGCTTCTATGTGATGGCTCAGAGACTTGGCGCGTTACGAAAGGCGTTTCCAACAAACTACAGACATTCATCAACAACTGGCTACGCTGGCTCGTTACTGAAGCTCAGATGACCAGAAACAATAAGCAACAAGGAACTGTGGCTGGTGACGAGCCA